CTGATTGGTTGAGAATAGGTCAGTATGGTTTATTGCAGCTTGGGTCATAAATGCTTTAAGACCCAAGCTGCCAATGGCATCGGTCATGGGGACGGGGCTGCTAAACTCACTCCATCCTTTGCTTCTATATTATGGTAATATATGATAAAATCACCCCTGACCTGTCAAAAGCTAAAAATGTCATTTTTCAAATTTCCATTATTTTTTACATCTCCTAAGGAATAATATGACAAAACAAGAGTATATGACACAATTCTAAACTCATTTGAGATGCATACGTCTCATAATTAAGAAAAGTTCAAGGTTAAATAAGCCCCCCCCCAGGCCATCATAAGCTAAAATGAAAATTTCAAATTTTAAGAAATGTCCAATCATTTTCTACATCTTATAGGAGGTATTATGATTAAACAGAACTATATGCATCATCTTGAGCTAATTTGGGATACATATATTACAAACCTTGAAAGTTATTAAGGATAAAATATGGTTACCCTGGCGCTTCAGAAGCGATAATGAAATTTTTTTTTTTTGAAAAGTTCCAATCATTTTTCAATTCATTTAGGAATAATATGACAAAACAAGACTCAATGCACCATTTTGAGCTCATATGAGACCCATACATTGCATATCTTAAAAATTATTAAGGTAGAATAAGGTTACCCCTAGGCCGCAAGGGCTTAGAAATTCAAATTTCGATAATTTTTATTTCAAAAAATACATGAGCTACCCAAGCCATATTCTATATTTGTGATAAACACTTATACCCCTATTAGTATGAATTTTTCCAAGATGATCAGACATCACATTCTTGAAATACAGTACTTGATGTCCCATATTTGACCCTTTAAAAGATGAATTCACGCTAGATAATTGGGTCAAAATGCATTTTCCACACTTAACACCACATCTACAATCAGTTTGTCTCAATTTCAAGGCTCAGAGCAATCACCAAATGAAGTCATTTAAAAAAATTTACTTCACAACCATTTTTATTTATTTTTTATAATGTACCCCCTCCTCGCCTGATAGGGGTTGGGGTCAGAGACTAAAAAATCCATGAAGACCACTCCGGATCACTTGCCCCGAAATCATTTTCCACTCAGATCAAGTGTTTCTACAACTGTGCCAAGTTTGTTGCTTTCCTGAAAAAGTCGAACTATAAAGGGCTCATTTCTGGACATCTGACTGCGCTACGATTAATTTGATGAGCAATAAACCTTTGGCCTTGTGTTATTCTGATCCATTTTACATTGATCTTTACACGTAAATAATCCACCTGGGAGATCCATAGCAAGCTTTTAAGTAGATTATCACAATTAATAAACCATGGTAACTGATGTCGTTATACAGAAGCATTATGTGCGAACAAGTACTACACGATACGATATTATACGGAGCAGTGTGAGACTCACAATCATCGAGTTTATAAAGACAGGCTAGGGTAGGTTTGAAATTCAAATTAACGATTTTACGGGGCGTTTTGGTTTCTATTACGCCTTGTGGAGTTGGTGTCGCGGGATACTGAATGTCAAGGGGAATTGTGATGAAAATTAAACATTTTTCGCCCTGGCTCCAGGAAGCAAAATATGCAAATCAAATAATGAATAAATATGAATTTATACCTTTTTTGTATATGCACAAAGGATCACATTTAGTATACAAAGTCAGCGAAATGTGTAAATAAAACACTGAATGTTAAAGTAGATCATTAGATGTCACTGTTATTTTATCTGTGACCTATAATTTTTAAATTTACATGCCATACTGAATGTCAAACAAAACTGATGTCAAATTGAATGAGTCTCCTTAGGAAAGAAGAATTATGTCAAATGAAACTGTAATTAAATTGGAACTATTTTATAAATTCTTGAGGAACTTGAAACTGTATTGCTAGGTGTATCGCGATCAACAGATCGAGCGAACTTGAATATAACCGTCCACCACTTTGCCAATCCCATTCCCCATTGTCGTTGATTAGATTATATATATCTATTGGTAATCAAAACAGGGATGGGTATGTTCAATGATGATAATTAGAGAGGTTTCGCTGAATAGGTTACAGCTAAAACGTATCCGCAACCGCTTCTATATGTCTGATTCTACCGTAAACACCGTCTCTCCAGGGGGCTATTAATTTAGGACTCAATGCACTATTAAGTATCGTTACTTATCATCTAGAACTGGTATTAGGTAATACAGTATTGTGGCTACAATGGGCGGCTAGTATGAAATTGAAGATTATCGGGATTTAGAGCAGAATTAATCACTATTATTTTAATTGAATCTGGCGTTTAATCTTGCATTGAAATTGCTCGTCGGGACTAAAACGGTTATTAAACACGATGAACGCCATAAAGGTGATACACACTAAACTGCAGGCAGAATGATTTTATTTTAAAACGTAAATTGTTTATCAAGGGAAAGCTTTATAAGATTTATTGTAAAGACTGGGATTTGATATTTAACATGATGCAGATGGTTTTATGAGAAGTATTGTTTCATTCCCGTTTTAAGATGATGAGCAAATTGTTGAGTTGACACAAAACAAGACCATATAATAGACAATGTGCAAGTAGAAATAATATTGATTTACGGCATCCAATCAAACTGATGTCATATTTGGAATCTACATGTAAAATTACATCTAGAAATGTGGTTTTGATAAGAGTTTATCAACTTTTAAAATTTAATTTTCTTTGAAATGTGACTTCTAGGTCGGGGAGATTCCCCTTAGACCCCATATTGTAAAATCACAAAAAGTGAAATAAACTTTGGTATACCCTGCCATGTTATTTCCCCCGAATCAGCCACCTGGTGGCGAAACTGGTAACTACCTTCTCGCATCTGAGTAGAGTAATTGGGTTCAGTTTGGTTCAATATAGCATATATAGCAGAAGAAGGGTAGATGTAGGTTCTCAGAGCGATCACGAACTAAAATTTTCTCAAAAGAATAATGCATTTGTTAACGGTTGTTCTTTACACGTAAATGATACCTTTCTACCTATACCTGATACTTCCTGAATTTTTCATAATTTGCTGGCTATCGTATATATATATTCAATTTGGACAAATACCTCGGGTCAGAGAAAATATACCAATACGAGGGGTGATCCAAAAGTATTAGACGCCCTGCTCTAATTTTGTTGGTTTTTGATAAAGTTACTTTAAACTTTGCAATAATAAAGATCAATGACCTTACTACTTTGTGTATTAATTTCATTGAGAAATGATATAATTTATGTAATTTTCTAGATAGTTTTTAATATAGGGACCCTGCCATCCGGAACGGTATTCCCACATGGCAACTTTAAGCCTTAAATATTGCCACCATTTCTCTTGACCGCTATCTTTCTTTGAATTTTGAATGTTAAACAATTTTAGTTTACTTCCTGTGTTACTAGGCAACCAATTAATTGTGGTTTAATTATAATGCCACATATGAAAATGGCAATATATGTCAAATTCTACGAAAATGACATCAGACAAGCAACCCTCATTTTGGTATCATTTTTGCTGCAAGATGGCTGCTGAAATGCAGAACTTGAAAGAAATATAAGTGAAACAAATAATACTACAAGATATTCTCCCTATTACTGAAATTGAGCAGCTACCATATGCACATGATACAATCTGGATATGGCTCCGTGTATGGTTCCTTTTCTCAAAGTTGAAAGGAGGGTTGAAAGAAAATGATTATTACTCATTGGATGAGGTTTAGAGTGGCACTCCAGCAGCATTTGTATCACATAAGCAATGGCGGGTTCATAATTGTCTTCCATTCATTGATAGAGCGGTATGAAAATGTGTTCAAATTTGTGGAAAATATGTTGAAAAGTAGGTCTTAATATGTGAAAATAATGATGGCAGATGACACTCAGATTAAAAATCAGAAATTCTCCTAGTTGCGACGTAATTTGCTATATTTAAATACCGTTCCGGGTGTCAGGGACCAGGTATGCAAACATATTTAGAAAAGTAGCTAAAATATAATATTTTCTGTTGAAACTTATACACAAAGTTGTTTAGACGTTGATCTTTATTATCTGAAAGGTTCATGTAATCATATTAGAAAATAGCCTAGTTAGAGCGGGGCGTCCAAGACCTTTGGATTACCCCTCGTACCCAATGGTATTTGTGAAATGCATTTTACTACAACGTTACAATTTAAAAATTCTCTGGAGATATGCAACGTATACGTCACTTTATGAGATATGACTCAATTCGATTCAATTCAATCAAAGGACATTACTCTTACCGAAATAATTTTGATATAGGAAATAATAACCAGAAATCATTTTGATTAATATATTATTCGGACAAGAAACGCTGTTATTTCTAAAAGCAAAAGACGTCTAAAAGTTCTGTTAATCGAAATTGACAGATTATCGTTTGTTTCTACAGTATGGCAAATTGAGCAATTTTCCAGAATAATCTATACGTATACGGAACTGTCAGGCAATTTATTAAAATAGATTGATGCATGCACAGTATTGTCTCCTAGCGGTATTGCTCGATACAACACCCATCCCTCATTTTATATCCTTTTTTATTAATAGAGTGATTCCCAAATTAGCATTATTTGCATTATTAACATATACCAGTTAGTATGTCATCTAGTGCATTATACAATAACAACATCATTGTAGTTGAGTCAGTAGAAAAGTGCAGACCGCTTTCATTAATTACCATGGCAGCACTTTAATCATGTTTAATTTATACTAAGGAACTAAATTTCCAGATAGAGATCCCGAACACTCATTATGAGTCAAATGGGTTAACCCATCATGTGTGCCCAGTTCACCTAAGTTCCGGTTGATCGCTGGCCGATTATTAGTTATATTTCTTGAAACAAAAGGTAAAAGCCTGAGTGTTTTACATGTCTTTTTCCGTTGATTTATCGAATATTTAAAATTATTTTTGGCTAGAAAAGCCTTTACTTTCCGGTGTAAAATAAATTATGGACCCCCGCGGGTTATGGTCCCATTTCCTTATCTTTTTTTGATAGATGGCGCCAAGAATAAATAACACGTTGTAAAAGACTAGGAGTAATTACTCAGTTTACGTGATAATATCTACATTTGTGCCGATTTATCGTAATCTAAAACATTTATAAATATCTATAGACGATATACAGCGGATTAGTTGAGACCATGTCCAAACTACAGGACAACCAACCGGCGATTACCGACTTCGTCAAAATTCGTGCTGATAAAAACCAAGATGGTGGACAACTTGCACAGGACTTTGATAAGCCATCCTCGATAACTATACCCGTGAAGCGAAATAGACGAGAAGCGGGGTTCCCAAGTAAGGACAGTGAAACTTCGCCAGTACCGTACGATGACGTTTTTGAGAAAGCTCTTGATGAAGCATCCTCAGGTACATGCACCACAGACGATCCACATGATATGGATTCTGAGCAACCGGTAACTATCCTCTCTCTTACTACCGTTATGAGAACATTACTTAATGAAAATAACACCCAGATAATGTCTCAAATGCGTGATATGGTGAAGCATGAAATTGAAAAATCCACGATAAAGCTATCTACTGATCTAAAACAACTTCGTGAAGAAAATGACACTCTGAAGTCCAGAATCATGATATTGGAGAAATCCCATACTGATATGACTGTTAAGCAAGATCAGCTAGCCCTTGAGGTAAATCATAATGCTCAATACAGCAGGAAATCCACATTACGTGCCGTTGGGATCGCTGATGACAAAAATGAGTCTGTTGAAAAGTGTATTGACACTCTCTGTAAAACCCTAAATGATCACCTGCCAGCAGGAGCTATGATTGAACCTGACCACATTGAAATTGCCCACCGTTTGCCTGGAAGAGATGGGAAGCCACGACAAATCATAGCCAAATTCTTTGACCGACTTGTTAAGGACAAAGTAATGTCAAACAAGCGCCACCTAAAAGGCACCAATGTGAGAATTTACCATGATCTCAGTCCGAGAAACAGAGTACTGCTGAAAGAAGTCAAGCAGCACAACGATATTGATCAAGCATGGTACAATAACATGAAAGTGTATGGTAAACTCAAATCTGGTACAATCAAAGTATTCTCAATCAACGATAACATTGACTCTGTCATTGCCAGGTCTTAATTACCTTGGTGTGCTTGGACGATTGCCATAACTTTCTCGTGAACATTCCCTCACTCACCACTGTTACCCTTGTTGATTTAAGTTATAGAAAACGCTGGTCACCATGCAGAAAGTAACATCAATGTATAAACTATCAATATAGTTTCCTAAAATAACCGAACATAACTTTTCTCACTGACAAATGAACGTCTTAATGAGCTGCTGCTCGTGCTAAACTTGACGATTTTCTCCAGTTGTTTTGTTTACATCTCTCTGTCACGTGACTATTTGACCTTCCGGAAACCGGAAGTGTGCTTTTATCAAATTTATATTTCACGTTTTTGTCTTTTGAATCTAAAAACACGGTGAGTTCTTTTCCCTTCTGTATATAATGCTGTTCTCAACGAACACCTTTGTAAATAGAACTACTGGAGAAGTTCGTTTTTCGAATTTTATATACGAGCCTGACTAACATTTTACTATTTATGATTTATTTTTCTCCAGTATGTATTACTCTATTAGAGTCTATATACTGTAATGTATAAATGTTACAGTAGCTTGCAAGCATACACTATGATTATGATGAATCACAAGCAAGTTTTGTATTGTTGCCATGTATTACTGTTTTTGTTTTTGTTTTAATATTGCTGCCCACTGTATTTCATGTGTCATGTAGTCCATTTTGCTGGCTACCAGGCTACTTTTTATCCTGAAATTGGTACTTTGCTACTGAAATTATGATTCCATAACTGAGTTGTACTTCCTATATCTTTGCATCAAAAAAACCTTTGTTGCATAACACCATGTGTAATGTACCCATATTCCTTATTGTCATGCACACACTACATGTGTGCATACTTTTGGAAATTATCAATCATAGAGGTTGGGTTGGGGATGGGGATTACTTTTACATTTCTAAATACTGCTTACTTAGCTTTTTACCATTTGTTACTAGCATATATACCTTTCAGTTAACCAACAGTGCAGTCAAGTCAGGCATAGGTTAATGGGTGCAGTCGACATTCAGTCGTGGCGAAGCAGAATTGGAATTTTTAACTCGAGAATCAAAATACCAGGTTTGAGAATCAAAAACAATGGTACTAAGAGGCAAATGTCAAGTCCAAGTTTTGTAACAGTCTTAATGCTTATATACCTTATTCTACTCACCTTAGATATAATTTCCTGCATTGATTTGACAAATAATTACAATAAACTTTTTAATGAATTTACTAGGCTCATGGCTATTGTGGTCATAATCTACTTGTTAACAGTCATGTTTGTTACATTATTTATGTCAATGCAAATGCTTATGAAGCTTATAGGCAATGTAAAATATGCAAATATTTTTGACAATTTCACACTCACTGTTTTGATTTTTCAAACTTCAGTCTACATTTTTGACCAAAGTGATTTAATCTTGCAGGCCGGCGACATTGAAACTCATCCTGGTCCTCACTCTACATGTACCATGCAGCATGATCTCAAGTTCCTTTTCTCAAACATTAACAGCATAAGCAGTGGGGAAGGTATCAGGTTTGAAAGTTTTAAACATAGATTAAGAAAACATGGGGTATCGGTAGCTGGACTCTGTGAAGTAGGCAATTTGAATGACAAGATTATTTCTGAAAACTACTTACTTCCTGACTATCACTCTCCCCTTTATCATCAAGGGGGTAGAGGGCTCATGATATACATTAAATCTGACCTTACCTACATTCCCATGCCGGATTTGAATACTGATAACAGTCTTTGGGTTAATATCAAAATTAGAAATACTTCAATACTATTTGGTGTACATTATCGCTCTCCTAGTATGAATGTAAATGAGGAAAATGCTTATTTTGACCATCTAAGGGAAAATCTCTCCAAAGCATCCAAGATAAAATGTGACCACCTAATTATAAATGGTGATTTCAATTCCAAACATCAAAAATGGTGGCCTGAAGGTACTACTGACTCGAGAGGCAATAAACTTGACTCTATTTTATCAAACTTAAATCTTATCCAGTTAGTAAAAGAGCCTACCAGAATAACAAGAAACTCAAGAACCTGCATTGACCTTTCTATTACAAACAAGCCTTTTCTCGTAAGGGAATTGGTTGTTTCTGACCCTATTGGTAATACCGACCACTCTACTATTTTGACCACTCTTCCGTTAAAACTCAGTAAGAGACACAAATTAAAGAAAACCATTTGGAAATATGACCAGGCTGATATTGAGGGTATAAATTCCAACATTCGTAATTTTGACCTGACTGAACTATATAATCAGAGTAATAGAGACATTAATGTTACAACTGAAAGCTTTTCTTGTCATATTTTTGACATATTTTCAAAATACATTCCTCAAAAAACAACAATTTTAAATGCAAATGATCAACCTTGGATGAACTCAAAAATTAAACGCGAAATCAATAAGAAAGAACGACTTTATCGGAAAACCAAATCAAAAAATGACACAACTATTTTTGACAACTACACTGCTCAAGCTGAAAAGGTCAAATCCTTAATAAAAGAGGCAAAATTAAATTACCAGGAAAATATTGTAAAACAGATTAATGAATCAACCTGTAAAGGAAAACAATACTGGAACATAGTCAATTCTTTTCTATCCAGAACTTTTCATGCTTTACTCCCTAGTTTGAAGTGCAATTTTTCAGATCACATAGCTACAACTGAGGGTGAAAAAGCTGAGTGTTTCCTTAACTTTTTTTCTTCAAAATATCATAATTTAAACCAAGTGGATAACGATGCACTTCCACATTTTCCAAATAGAACTGGAATATCAATTGACCATTTATCTACCAATCCAGATGAAATTCTTCAAATAATCCAGTCCTTTGATTGCGATAAAGCCTGTGGTCTTGACAAAATTAATAACAGAATGACAAAAATAGCCCAGGAAGCATTATCCTTCCAGTTATCAAAATTGTTTAACATGATTTTTGCATGTGGCCAATTTCCTAGTTGCTGGAAACTTGGAAACATTTCTCCAATTTATAAGAAGTCTGATAGATCTCAAGTTGAGAATTATAGACCGATTACTTTGCTAAGCACTTTTTCCAAAATTTTTGAAAAAGTTGTGCATAATCGCATTTTAACGCATCTACTTGAAAATAACCTTCTTTATCAATTTCAATCTGGATTTCTTCCAGGACACAACACTGAGCTACAACTTTTAGCAATAACTGATTATATCTTTAACGAAATGGAAAAAGGTAACTGTGTTAATTCTGTTTATTTAGACGTGGCGTCTGCTTTTGATACTGTACCGCATAACTTACTCATTCACAAGATGAAATCATATGGAATTCAAGGTAAATTAGCCGACCTCTGCTCTTCTTACTTAGAAAATCGAAAAGTCTGTGTCACTGTAGATGATCACACATCAAACTTCTCTCCTGACCACTTCATAAACTCCGGTGTGCCTCAGGGCTCCATAATCGGACCCCTGATGTTTCTGATATACATAAATGACCTCCCTGACACTCTGACCTCGAAAACTTTTATCTATGCAGATGATACCTCCTTATACTCTTTCTTTCACCCTTCTGGTAATCAAACTGGCCAACTCCAAAATGACCTAAATCTTTTAAGTGCATGGTCTAGAACCTGGCAATTGAAATTTAAAGCATCTAAAAGTGCTCATTTAATTTTTCGCTCAACCCGACTAAAAAATATTCAAATGTCTCCGCTTTACTTTGATGGTGAAATGATCCCCCAAAAGCAATCACACAAGCACCTGGGTTTCATCTTAGATGAGAATTTGACTTTTAATGACCATATAAACTATCTGTCTAATAAAGTTCAAAAACTGTTAAATCCTTTGAAGCTCATATCAAACAAAATACAATCGCACCATCTTGAAATAATGTATAATTCATATTTGGCGTCTCATTTTGACTATTGTAGCTCCATTTACGGATCGTCATCCCTGGCGGCCTTGTCAAAGCTTGACAAAATCCACTACCAAGCTGCTGTTATATGTGCTGGGGTACTGCATGGCTCTAACACCTCAAAAACTTTAAAATGTTTACAGTGGAAATCGCTTACTGACAAAAGACACGAAAAAAATCTAAGACTGATGTTCAAAATTGTAAGAAAGGAAGTGCCTTATTATGTCCATAGTCTTTTTGACCAACATCGCAACCAAGCAACTAGAATTTTAAGACACTCTTTACCCTTTTCCTGCCCAAGAAATATTTCAATGAGACTCTCCAAAGCACCAGTTTTAAAACTTATAAATGATTGGAACCAACTAAGCCAGACTTTTCGTGAAATTCAAACCATTTCTAGATTCAAAAGCTCTATTAAACAGATATTTATCCCTATTTCAAACTTCATACCAACTACAAAACTAAATTTAAGTAGAACCAACGAAAAACTGCTAAATAGGCTTCGAGTTGATTTTGCCCTTAAAGACCATTTCTTTACTCATAATTTTACTGGAATAATTGACAACAAATGCCTCTGTGGCTCTACTGAAGACACAAAGCATTTCATTCTAACCTGCCCTCGCCATACCCATGAACGTAATAAAATGATGACTGCACTTCGTGAACAAAATTTATTGTTTGATACTCAACTTATTTCTAGTAAGACAGAACAGGTCAAATACTTAATTTATGAAAATGAACTCACTATTGATTCTCAGAAAATCCTGATAGATATAGTGATGCAATTTGTACAGGCCTGTTATAAGTTTCCATCAAATTAATGTTTTTCTCATTTGTATCTTGTGACAACCCCCCCCTCCCTCCCAACCTCTCACATTACCAATAAACCATCTATGATTACTGTAATTAATCCTCTATTGTAATTTAAACTACCTAGAATGCCTATGGCGATTGGTAGTAGATATTTTGTGTATTTTTTGTTTATGAAGGAAATAAATAATATGTTAAAAAAAAAAAAAAAATTTCCTTACTGGCCCTGACTGTTTATAAATAATAAGGAAAATAAGTGTAATTAGTTCATCATATAAATCAATAGAGAGTAGGACCAACATTTGATAGGACCAC